CCTCCCTGCTCATCCTGGCCAATAGCCATTGATGGACCTAACCTCCATGAATCTATCTAGCTCTTTTTCAACCCTGTTAAAGTCCTGGCCTTCACCCCATCCTCTGGCGAGGAGTTCCACAGGTTGACTGTGCGCTGAGTGAAGAAAAACTGCCTTTGGTTTGTTTTAAAGTTGCTGCCTATTCATTTCATTTGGTGACCCCTAGTTCTTATGTTGTGGGAACAAGTAAATAACTTTTCCGTATTCACTTTTTCCTCACCAGTCATGGTTTTATAGACCTCTGTCATGTCCCCCCTTAGTCTCCTCTTTTCTAAGCTGAAAAGTCCAAGTCTTCTGAATCTCTCTTCATGTCAGTGGGGGAGGTCCAGGTTGGATATTAGGAAAAACAATTTCCGTAGGAGGGTGGGAAGCACTGGGCTGGGTTCCTAGGGAGGGGGGTGAATCTCCACCCCTAGAGGGGTTTACGTTTTGGCTTGACACAGCCCTGGCTGGGCTGATTTCATTGGGACTATGCGGGGTGCTTAGTTTAGTTCCCAGAGCTGTGACGTGGATCTGCCTGAGATCGCGGTTCGCTCTCACGCTGCTGGCCTGTCCCGCGTAAGGTAGCAGCCCCCGCAGCCGGGCGCCTGCGGGCTGGGCGTTCCCACAACACCAAGGCCCGGCCTTGTGTCATTGGAGCCGCAGTTCTTGGTGGCCACGGCCCTAGCGGAAGCCCATACACAAAATCGAAGTCACGACCCACGCCTCTGAAAGAAGACGCTGGATCCTAGGGCCTCGTGCCGCAGGCTGAAAAGAGAGCAGCTGGCCCGGCCCGAGGGAGGGGAGAGCTCCCGTGGTGAGCTGTGAACTTGCTCCACACCCGAACTTTGCAATTGGAACCATCAACGGCCTTTTCCCAAAACCGATATTTTCACGGGAAAGGTCATTTTTTCAGACTTTCCTCAAAAACCTACATGTTGGATTTCGAAACGGAATTCTTCTGGTTTTGTTATTTCCTGCTGTGAAGCAGCAAAATGGAACCCTCATTCTAATTAGCTGGTAAACCTCATTGCAGGAGGAATACCAGCTAATTTGCGGTTGGGCTTTGAATTGGAAACCTGTTTCACTGCCGCGTGTAGACGTGGGCAGTTACTTCGGGCTAGTCAATTTCTAAAATGGCGACCATCCGGGAACATGCAAATCAAGCGTGGGATATTTAAATCCCGGGCTTGATTTGTGATTTTGGTCGCCCTCATTAGCCTCCCTAGATCGATCTAAGGGGCTAGTGTAGACGTGCCCTTACAGACTAACCAGACATGTAGTTGGGATCAGGAGCGTTCGTGGCACGGCCCACGTCTTCAGATGACCGGAGTATTAACAGTCCAGTTCCAAAATAAATGGGAGCTGGGGGAGACGGATGGCACAATGGTGCTTGGGAGTGTTCATGCCACATGAAGCTGGTAGGGAAGGTGCCAGCTGTTCCGTTGGCTGGTTGTCAGGCTGTGGAAGGCAGCGTGCTAGCCAGGCGAGGTCTGGTTCACACCTCTGTGATGGGTCCCAAGCCTGTGTGAAGGTAAGTTCCAACCCTTCCCTGTGTTTTTGGCTTGTGGAATTGGCCTGAAACAGCCCGGTGCCTGGGAGATCCGTGGGCGAGCGCCCCGGCCGGGTAACGTTCTCCAGCAGGTTTCTGTGCGGTGCCGTTGCGGATTTCTGATTTGAGCCCGTTAATTCTTCCCCGTAGAGACTGTCCGGTTTGGCCAATCTCCACAGCCAGGGGCCCTGCTGGCTCAGATCCCGTTGGGGGAGGTGCCGTTGTCTGAGCCTCTGCTGCGGTGGCTGATGTGGTTAGGACTTGGCCCCGGCCGGGTAACGTTCTCCAGCAGGTTTCTGTGCGGTGCCGTTGCGGATTTCTGATTTGAGCCCGTTAATTCTTCCCCGTAGAGACTGTCCGGTTTGGCCAATCTCCACAGCCAGGGGCCCTGCTGGCTCAGATCCCGTTGGGGGAGGTGCCGTTGTCTGAGCCTCTGCTGCGGTGGCTGATGTGGTTAGGACTTGGGACGATGTCGCTGTGTGGGCAGAGCTGGCCCGGGGCCGATCACAGGGGGATCCCGGATGAGTGTGATGGGGGGGGGGGGCGGGGGCGGGGCGGCGG